GACCTGCTCACTCAGTATTCTTAGAAGCAGAACCGATCAAGAGGAGGAATGATTCAGTTTCTCACACTCCCTGAAAACCTGACATGCAGAAACTGTTGGCTCCTGTTGACTAATGAGCTTTGTGATATTTAATGCTAGATTTGGAGGGAAAATAAATTTAGAATTGCGTTTCTAAAATCTAGAGTCATAACTTTTTTTTTTCCAGCATATGATCTAGCAGTCTCTCTTTATAATCAAGTCTACTTAACGTATTTGTTATATTCTTTCTTTTCTTTCATTTTGTGTCCTGTAAAGGTGCTTAGGATTACGTTGTGTTTGAATTGTGGGCTTTGCATAAACCTGCTTTACTTGTAGATATCTGAAGCTCCTCAGGAGTTATCCAGAGCCTCTCAGTTGAAGCTCCGCCTGTTGTTCGGGTGTGTTCCTTGACCTCCATGATGTTATTTGTGCTCTAATGTCCCCCAAAACAACTGAGGCCTTCATGGAATAAACAGATTTATACTGATATTTAACATTTATGTGAAAAAATAAATGTTTTAAAGTTTTATGTACTGAAATACAGAACCTCAGCCCGACTTCTGGAGACCAAAGTAGCTAATGTGTCCTCGCATCCCAGCGCGGCATCTGGGAAGAAACCCACCCCTTCAAAGAATCCCGCTGTGGTCCTCGCTCTGGACAGGGTGGGCGGTGATGGAGCCAAATCCTCAACAGGACAGGTCTCATCTGTGCCAAATGGAGCACAGCATGCTGCATCCTCCACCGGAGCTGTTAAACCGTCCTTCTATGGGACGTCTCAAGGTTGGGACACTGTGAGGCGTGTTTTCAACCCGCACAGAGGTCAGTGAGAAATACATTTCAATGCGACAGCGGTTTAATTAGGAGGTTTGGTCAAAATTGACTTCTATTCTTTAATTTCAGCCTCCCACCGAGCCTCGCATACGTCCTCCTACAACATCCCGTCCAACTCGCAACCTTTTGCACAAGTTCAGGCATCAGGGTATTCACCTGCCCTGCAGAGAAAGAGAAACAGCAGCCTCCCATCCAATGTCAAACCACAGATGAATGAGCTGGCAGCGCCCTCTGCTGCTGCGACCGTGAAGGACAGGGAATATGCTGCATTACATGAAGCAGTATTTCAACATCACAGGCAATCAGCTGCCAATGGACCTCAGTCGATTCTGGTCAAACCTGATGCACAGAGAAACAGCACAGATAAGGTAATTTCAGATTTATTTTTGCTTTTTTTATTATTTTTTTCCAAGCTTTTGGTCTCTTTATGTGATAAAATGTACGTTTGCATTTCAAAAGCCTCAGAAATCAGTTCGGTTCCTGACAGATGAAGAGTCCCCTCCTCCAAGACAACGGACCTCCCTCTGGTCATTGGGGACACAGGTTCACCCAAACTCCCGCCCTGGTCCCCTCCCTTTAGAAGTCTGGGCCCCGTCACTCACCATGGGCAGAGACGGACCAGGGATCCTTCTGAAAGACAGAAAGGGTCCACTTTTTAGGAAGGGCTTTGAAACGGCTGCCTCAGATCAAAATTCTAACCAGCAGAAACCATTCCATTCACAGCCTTCACTGTCTGCTCATTTCAGCCCCATCAGGTAAGACTTTTGGGTTTTGGGATCTTTGCTCACGGACAAAAAACAAACCTGTAAAAATTATTCAACTAACTTTCTGGTGATTTTTTTTTTTTTTCTTTTTTTTTTTTTTTCTTTTTTTTTTTTTTTTTTTTCAGACACAGAGTGACTGCAACACATTTAGCCCAGACAGACTCAGAGCTTAGTCTGCTTCAAGGAGAGGTTGTCTTTGTCCACAGACCTCGGCCTGACGGACGGGTCCTCCTTACGCAGGAGAGCAGCGGGCAGACGGGCATTTTCCACAACACTATCCTGCAAGTCCTTGAGAGGCTCAGCTGACTTTATATTTAGGCTGAATTAATGTATATTTCTATTATATCTATTTAAATTGCCAAATGAATTAATGGACCAACCGAACAAAAAGAGCAATGATGTCTAACAAACGAATCCTGCCAAATGACAATGCAGTAACAGGTTTTTATATTGGCTCTGAATGGGTGAGAGTGTGTGGGTAAGGTCTGCAGAGGTTTATTTTCTGTCCTGCATTGTGTGCACATTTTTGTGGCAAGTTATATTCTATTATTTTTTGCACTAAAACCTACTTCAGGTTCCTTCCTTTATCTGTTACACACAGTGGTGAGTGCCTTTTTCAAAACCCACCGTGAAAAAAAATCTATATATATTTTATTTGTATATATATTTAGAGAGATTAAGTAAATTATCTGTACTGCTTCTGTGTTAATAAAGTGTACTTCCAGAACAGCTAACGGGTTGGTCTATTTCTAGATAATCAAATCAAATTTTTTATCCATTAAATTGTGCAAGTTTGCATGTGCAACCTGCATTCTAGGCATGCAGGCTGCAGAGAGTAAACCCTTTTTTTTTTACTCATGTCATTTTTCGGTTTCTGAAAAGTTCTGCGATTAAATCTTGAAGTAACCACCAGATGCTTTAATAATTTATTTTAACATTCTGCAAAGATGTTTCAAAGTTTCATTTTGGTGCAGGGTTTCAAACACACCACACTGCACCCCTCACTGCTGTTTAGGTTATTGCATAACATACATTTTAACTATGATGCATTAAAAAAAAAGTTATTTTTAAGTTATATTTTTTTATTGGATTTAAATGCTCCATTTTGACTGGTTAGGGGTTAATGCAGTAAAGGCAAAAGTTGCTTTAGGTCTCAAACACTGCAAGATAAAAAAAATCAACTTATTACCATTTGTGGAGCATGGTGAAAACATAGTGAGGGCCCAATTGCCAAAAAAGGTTATATATGCAATGATTGCATCTCTGATAATTTAGTTTAAAATGACAGCTCTAAGGATTGCTTTGCCTCCACTTTAATAAATCTATCATAATTAAAGGTACTGAGCCCTGTCTTTTGGTGTGGGATAAGGCAAGAGAACATGAATTAATTATAAACCTTTTGCAACTCATACCTGGGCAGCAAGCTAATTTGTCCGTATTTTATGGGTTTGAAGAAGTGTTTAAGACGCTAATACATTTTTCTGCACCGTAATAGTGCAGTCATTATTTTTTGTTATTACTATAAATCCAATTATTGCAAACATGTATGATATGAAATTATATTCCGTGAAGGCATTCTGCAGGGCTGCCAACTTTTCACCAAAACTTGGGGTGAGATTATGAAATAGTTTGGACAGGAAACCCTGTCAGGATTAGATGAGGATAGGTGCAGTTATAGGTTGGAGGTTTTCAGAGGATTTAACATAAACAAAGCGGCAAAATGTGGAATTTTTATAGCACAGAAAAGGTTACTGAGTAACAATAAGTGGTCTGTAGTTATGTCTAACAATTTTCTTACAATATACAATATTTTCTACATTCTGGTGTTTTTCAGAGAATTGAAGTAAAGAATAGGCCCTACTAAAATACTTGCATCTTAAATATACTTTAAGCTAAGAATTTCACAACTTTGTTCATTAATTATTCTCTGCATTATACAATGGGGAACTAATAAGCTATTACTGGATTAGTGACACTGAAACAGGAACCAGAGCAATTGAAACCTATGCAAACTACACTGTGTGTGAATATTTGGTAATAGGCTAAGGATTAAAAAGCTTCATTCATTATGTTATTAGTTACAATCAATTGACAAAACGGTGTTAAATGTGGAAGTTATGTCCCCTTGAAGGCAGTTGCGCCTTGGGACTTCCCCACCGGTTCTTTTCCTGGGAGCAAGTTACTTACTACTCTTTACTCAAACTGGGTAAAACCATATAAAAAAGGACTTTAAAAACAGGAGTAAAAAAGTTTATTCCAGATCAGGTCGTTACAGGACAGAGAAAATGCTTGGAGCTTGCACAGCTCTGGGCTCAAAAAACGTCAGCGAGCCCCAAACAAGGACATCTTCACCTTCTTATACCTCATGAGTCTATGTGTTGGATCAGGTGGATGCTTTGCTGTCCGTATCAGAAACTGACACGCCATCCATGCCCAAGGATTACAGATAGCTCTCCTCTATCAGTCAGCCTCCAAGATGTGCCCATATCCTGTGTATCTTTAAAAGACAAGAAGGCTGTCCTATTTAGATGACCTCCTTACACACAGTGACATCCACAATGTGAAGGAAGGCCTTCTATTCTCTCTAATCTGGCTAACAAAGTAACAATGCACATGATGTATAAAGAATAAACCTAACAACGGCTAAACAATTCAGACCTTCTAGGAGGCTGTAGATTTTATGAAAACTCACCATGACAGGAGACAACACTTCTCTGGATGTTTCAGTTGAAAGGTGTGATGGAAATTAAGTTTTTTAACATATTTAATGGACCAAAATAAAGATAAATAAGTAGGATAGGTAATAATGTAAGAAGAGCATCCCTGTGGTTTCTCCTCTATGAATCCTGGATAAATGAGTTGTTCTGCACATCCTCTCCGAATGTGGTTGATCTTTTCTTGGGTGGCTGATCTTTTGAAAAATAAAATGCAATGCTTCTTGTTCTTTTCGTGGAGATCCTATGGGTTTGAGAGGCAAACCTGGAAGCTTTAAGAATTAAAATATTTGTGTTTGGTTTAATTACTCCTAAATGTCAACGGGAGATTATTAAACTGGACTGAGCAATAATTATTTAATTTGTGGACTAAAACTGAGACTAAAAAAAGCACCAGGTAAAAAGAAGATGTGATCCCAAACTCAGTCTCCACATCAATAATTTAAGCAAGCTGCTATAGTTTTTATTCATATTTACTCAAGTACTATACAATAAATAAATAAGTGGAACGGAATGTCGTTTTTTAGTGTAAGATTTGGGAATATAGAGTGAGAGTGTGTGAGGACACTGAGATGAGTGAGTCTCACTCCTAATGGGTGAGAGTTGACAGCCCTGCATTTAGTTACAGTGGTTTTATGTTTTGATATATGAAAGCCAACCTGCGCATGCGCACACCGAGTCAGAAGACAGCCAACGGCTCTGGGCTGCTGATGAGAATGACAACATCGCTAATGCACTAGTGCAGTGAATAGTAACCGAACTGAAACAAACAGAGCCACCAAAGCGTCTAAACCACAATATAGCACACACTCTGCCTCCTTACCATGCCGGTAAGTCGCCACGCCTGCTTACGTTTTTTTTTCTTCTTTTTTCTGAGTCGGGTTCCTCCCTTTCTCCTTTGATGTGATTAAGCTAACCCTGGTTAGCACTGCTAGCTCACCATTTACCCTGGCTTTTGCTATATGCTGGGGGGCCTTAACAGACATGTAATAATTGCAATTCTTTGCGTATTATTTGGTGTATTTTATCCACAAACCCCCACCACTTTGCGTTAGTTTTTTTTTCTAATTTCAACGAACCTTACTGTTAGCAAACCATCTGGCTAAAGCAGAGCCGTTGTTACCTAGCAACATATTTTATCTATTAACTTTTAGCTCCTACCCAAGATGGCCTGGTAGATTTGTACCATTAAATATGTCTTCTTTAAACGTCGTGTTATGCTGTGGCGTTTGAACGTTCATATTTTAGCTACATGAAGATAAAAATGTGTCAGCATATAGATTTGAGTAAATATAATGGCAGCCTAGCATTCAAATAAATTACATTTTTATCCTAGCATAACAAACTCCCAATGAACATTGTAGAATGATAGAAAGAATACAGAAAAAATACAATTAGAGAACTAATTAAACTAAATAAATCTTTCCAAATGTGTTGTCAATATTTAAGTTTTAATACAATCCTTTGTATATAACAGCTGGTAGTGTTATGTGGTAATTTTTATGAGAACTGGAGCTGACAAAAAAAGACAATTTCTAAAGAAAATAAAAAGGGATAATTACCAGATCCTTTTCTGCACTTCCTGAATTTTATCTTTTCTATTTGATTCAGGTATGTCTTAGGTTAAATGATTATATTATTCTTATATTCTGTTATTACTATGTCATATTTATTTGTCATTGCAACTGTAGAAATTGGCAGAATTAACACTCTTGAAATACTAAAACTTTGAATAAAATCAACAGTTACAGAATGTAAGAATAGGTTGAATTACAGTATACTGTTTACTGTATTTTCAGTCTACCAGGGAGCGTTATCATAGAGCCTTCCTCCCAGCAGCTGTAAGACTTTATAACCACCACTGTTCCCAACAACCTCAATAAATTGTCATCTCTGATGTTGCTGCTTTTTTCAAATATCCATTACTGTAAAAATGTCCATAGTTGTATATCGGATACTTATTCTCCAGGTGCATAATATTTATATTGTTAAAACGCTTTACAGTACACTATTTTATTTGTTTATTTTTTAACTCTTCACTTTTATGTAATTTTTATTTCTAAGGTCCACATCTGTGTGACCTTTTTTTATATATTCTTTTTGCTGTCTTTCACACTAGAATTTCCCAATTGTTGGTCAATAAAGGGATTTTCTATTCCATTCTATCTCTAACCTCCAAATGAGACAGCAAGTGGAAAATAACATTTACCAATAAGCCATGAGTACTTAAATTAAGTTTCTCTGTCAATGGTGCAAATTTGTTTAAAAGCAAGTTTCTTTTTATTAAGCAAAGCTATTCACAATGGATGGAGTACCCAGAAATGTTTCTCAAGAGTGGTGATACTGTACAATATTTTTACTCAGGTAGAAGTTAAAAGTCAACACTGTACTACTGAAGGTACCCGTTCACTGCTGTACTACTCCTAAAAACAAAAACATTCTAAAACCTTATTCAAGTTAATGTAACTGAGTATAGTGTAGTTACAAACCACCCCTTCTTTTTACACATCTTTGGCTTATGTGAATTGAAATATGGGATTTTTTCGTGACCTCACCTCCCAAGGATTAATCGATAGACAGAGAGATGAAATGACATTTAAACAGGAGTTTGAGATTAAATTTCATCATTTATTTATCAATGGATATATCCACAGAGAGACTACACAGAAAACCCACCTCTGTCCCCTAGCCTTCAGAAGCAGTCGGCTACCTCAGCTAATTTAAAGATGCACTTCACCTACTGTCTTCACCACACACAAAGCTAACAAAGTTGGAATCTCCTTAACTATTGCAAGTATCCCGGCACCACAAGAGAGCTTGTTAATTTCCGCTTCCGCAGCTCAAGCCGACAGTGGCTTTTGATCTGTTTGTCCAATTATTTCCAAGGCCAAATCTTTCCATTAAACTTGTATCATTCAAGTTCTCACAGGATTCACCTTAGGCTTTTTCTTTTTTCTTTTCTGGATTTTAGAGCAGTAAGGCTGAGAAAAAAGAAGTCAGCGATAACGTCAAAGTTGTGGTGAGATGTCGTCCCCTCAACCCAAAGGAGAAGACGATGGCCTACAAGCAGTCTGTCATGGTCGACGAGATCCGTGGGACCATAACGGTGAACAAACTGGAGAACCCCCACGAACCTCCAAAGACCTTCACCTTTGACACAGTGTTTGGGCCGGACAGCAAGCAGCTGGATGTCTACAATCTCACAGCCCGCCCCATTGTTGACTCTGTGTTAGAGGGATATAATGGTAAAGTTGTTGACATGATACTAGCTATTGTTTAAACCAGCTCTGTCAAAGCATCTTAATGTGGTTTTAAAATGAGCCTATACATTTATCCGAAAATTAAAACTTAACTGTTTTTATTTTCATAATCTCTATAACTTGGAATTATGTTTTTTTGTTTTTTTCTTTGATTCCCCATTCTAGGCACAATTTTTGCATATGGACAAACTGGCACAGGAAAAACATTCACCATGGAGGGTTATAGGGCAGTACCAGAGCTCCGAGGGATTATCCCAAATTCGTTTGCTCATATTTTTGGACATATTGCCAAGGCAGAGGGCGACTCCAGGTAGGTAATCAAGCTGAAGGCAACCTTTAATGCTACATTCACACCGCATGTGCTTTTGCAGCAAATAAGCGCCTGCTGCTTTATTTTTTTAAGCTTGTACATATTAAAGGCCTACGCATTTCAGGAGCATCCTTGACGCTGTCCATTAAAGTGTGTCTAGATGCATCTGATGCTGGTGCTCCTGTGTTCAATGGCATAGATTGGTTTTGCTATATATGCTGTGACAAGTGGGTAAAAAGTAAAAAAGTCCACCTGAAAACATCATCTGTGTCATGATCCTCCCTTCAAATATTATTTGAAGCCGCGTTGAGTTTGAATTCAAGTTGTTTTGGTCCACTCTATAAAGCCTCGAATTCTGACATTTTGAATTGAAAAGCTTCCTGGATGGGAAGCGAAGTGTCTTCAAACTTGGAAACCAAGTCTAGTGGATTGTTTTTTTAACTTTCTTGGAATTACTATGACCTGGATGACTGAGAATCTTCACTAGCATACAATACATACCAATATATCACACTCCTTTCCACAACCACATTTGCCAACAGTAGCTGTAATGGCAGCAGCTGTGCGCTGTGGTTAAGGTGTTTTCAGAGAGAGTGCTTTTTTTTTTCTCCCTTTTTGAAAAGCAAATATCTAAACTCTCTCACATAACACTGTCCATGCTGTAGAGTGATTGGATTTATCACTCAGAGAAGATCGTATGATTGGCGGTGGTTATCTGTTACAGATGCTAAGTAGCTACATGACAGGAGGATTTAATTAGAAGAAAGCAAAAGGTGAAAAAGCAGCATTTAGTCTCTTTTTTACTATTTCATAGATTCAATAGAGTTGAAACTATCAGATTAATTGTGAATAATTGATAAAAAAAAACAACAAATTAAGTAAACAGACTCTGAAACATAACAATTCTCACTCTGAGCAGCATTAAGCCATATCTTTACAATGGTTATATACAACTTTCACTTAAATAAGTAGATTGAATATGCTTGAACTCCTAAAGTGGCATTATTTAAGTTTCACCTGCTTCAAATTCTGTAAAATAAAAATTTTTTCCATCAAAAAATTGATTAGTTCAAGGGAAAACATAGTAAACAGATTATTTAATTTGAAATAATTATAATCGGAGGCCTACATTTGAAACATCCTTATTTATAAACAGCCTCTCTGACCTGGACTATATACAGGGAGAGGAAAAGATGGCCATCAGCTTTACTTAATTAGTTTTTGTTTTTAAATATATTTTCTGGGGAAAGTTTCCAAGTTCATTATAGACTTCTCTTTTTTGTGCATTGCTTTCATTTTTCAATTTTGGATAAAACAGTTTAAATGAAAGGTTTGATTTATTTGACTTTTATATATTTCCTTCTATGTTTAAATTCAGTTTCTCTACCAATGTTAGCTGTGTTTTTAAAAGTCAGCGGTTAGGTTTTATATTGCCTCCTTACAGTGCATCAAATCAAACTGTTTCACACCAGTAGTGAAGCATTACATTGATTTATCACAGTAATATTTATGTTTTGGCCTTATTCTAAGCAAAAGAATAAAAGCCACACAAACAAAATTCACATCACATTTTGAAAGTAGATGAACCCTTCACCTTTGGTCTTGTTTTAGCAGACATCTTTTTCTCACATATTTGGTTGGTCTGTTGCATCAAGAATTTTTGTTGTCATTATGAAACTAAAATATTGTGGTTTGCGGCAAACTGCAAATAAAACCTCTTACGGCTTCTTTCGTAAGGGCTTTCTTTTTACCACTCTTCAGTAAGGCGAGTCCACAGATAGTTTTTATTGGTGGGTATCTCTGCAGCTCCTCCAGAGGTACCACTGACCTCTTGACCGCTTTCTAATTAGTGCTTTCAGTTCTAAACCTTTTAGCTTAAATGAGCAGCTACGTCTTTGTTAGTTTGAACCAGTGCCACAGTCTTTAGATTGTTTGATAATGGATTAAACAAGGCACTGTAAGATGGTGTTTATGAACTTATTGACGGTTATTTACCAGTCAGCTGATATCTGAGGGGGATCACTTGCAGTGAGTAAGAGGGCCATATCCAATCGTCTGGATTTTTTTGGATAGAATGAATAAGTTCCTAAATAAATTTTTTGCACTTATTCATTTTACAAAAAGTTTTATTTCTTCCTATTTAGTGGTTATTTAAAATCAGGTTTTATTTGATAAAATTCCTTCAAAATCCGTTGGAGTCTGTTTCACTTTACAAACCATGAAAAACTTTGAAGGGTATTAACGCTTTTGCAAGATACTATAGAAAATCTACTTTAGACAATATGAGAAATAATTATCTTAGCGAAAAGTGAAAACTATTTAAAAAAATATGTATTCCTTGGGAATACCAGTGTTCAGCATTCCTTTAGAATAATTAGGTTTTTAACAAAACTCAATAAAAATTTACTATTTACTCAAAGTATGATAGACATACTTAGCTGGCCTGGTGGGTTCCCCCAGAGCAGCTGGAGGAGATGTGGGTGGCTCAGGAAGTATGAGCATCTCTGCTTAGACTGCTGCCTCGGCGACCTGGCCCCAGATACAGTTGAAGAGGGAGGATGGATGGATGGATGGATGGATGGATGGATGGATGGATGGATGGATGGATGGATGGATGGATGGATGGATGGATGGATGGATGGATGGATGGATGGATGGATGGATGTATGGATGATAGACAATCATCAGATTAGGAACAAATCACAAAGATAGTGTTTGCAGAGTTGAACGTACCGTATTTTCATGACCATAAGGCGCACCGTACTAAAAGGCGCACTCTCAGTTATGTGTGCCATTTCTGTATTTAACACACACATAAGGCGCACCGGACTATAGGGCGCGTTTTTTATATACAGGTACATGTCCTCTACTACCTTTAAATACCTCTACTGCATATTTAAAAATACAGCGGGCCCAAAACTGAGTATGATTGTGCTTTATTCATGTATTTATTACAAAGTATTAATCAAACCTGGGAGCTGGCCATGAGAGATGACAGGGCGCTGTGGTCACTCATAAATTAACTTAAAATCCTGAAACCTGCCGACGGAATATGTTCGCTTTTATTACCGGTATCCTGGTGCCTGCAGTTTAAATTATTTAGATGAAAAACACCTGCCAGCCACCGCAATGAACCCGGAGGCTACCCGGCCTAGAGGCTGCTGATGAAGGGATTTCTGCTGTCGGTGCACCGCTGGTATGTGGGGGTCTGAGCGGCTCCGACAGAAATAGATAATCTGGATGAACTGACTGCAATTATTAAGTTTTCAGGTGGACTTTCTCACTTAAAAGCATATTAAAACTACTTTATTCCCACTGATCACAGCAAATATAGCTGCAAGATTTAGATTATTTAGATGAAAAAACACCTGCCAGCCGCCGCAGTGAACCCTGCCCAGAGGCTGCTGTTGAATTAAGTTTTCAGGTAGAAAAATACAGCGGGAGCAAAACTGAGTATGATTGTGCTTTATTCATGTATTTATTACAAAGTATTAATCAAACCCATCAAAGTCATCATCCTCTGTTTCTGAATTAAACAGCCGCGTTAAAGCAGACATGCCAATTTCCCCTTCTTTGCTGTCAGAGTCACTTTCTGTGCCGGCCGGCTCCTCAGAAGTAATGCCTGCTTTTGCGAAAGCTCGAACAACAGAGCCAGCAGACAGTCCAAGCATCTACAATCCATCCGCAAACGGTGGCGTAACTTGCCCGGCGCTGCCTTCCACTTATCGTGAAACTGTGGTCTCCGTCGGTCATCCATCGCTCCCACGCCGCTCGCAGCCTTACTTTGAACGGCCGCTTCACACCGATGTCGAGCGGTGGAAGTTCCTTTGTCAGACCCCCGAGATAACGGCGAGCACAGCGTTTATTTTTTTTCACCATGTTTTTCACATCAGCTGTGAGATGGGCACGCATGGAGTCACATATTAAAAGCGATGGTGATGCGTGGAAAAAAACACCTGGTCTCCTCACATACACCTGCCTCAGCCACGCTTTCATCATCTCCTCATCCATCCAGCCCTTTCATTTGCTTTAATATGTCATCAGAGCGCTGTGTCTGTCTCGCTGTCAGCTCCCAGATCAGCTTCTCTGATTCGTTGATGCGGCGCTTCCAGCAGCAAAACTTCAATTTTTCCATCTCGAGCAGCAGCAGCGCGTTGGCGGCTCCCTCCCGCGGCGCTGCGCCTGCTGCTCAAAACGCGCTGCGGGACCTTTTGCTGCGTCTATACGCTCGTCAACCGTTGACTTTGCATGTAAACTCGCTGCTTCTGCTGCACCTGCTGCGTCCGGTTCACAGCGAGCACAGCATTAATTTGTTTCACCATGTTTTTCACATCAGCTGTGAGATGGGCACGCATGGAGTCAGATTAACAGCGATGGTGAGGAGTGGAAAAAAAACCACCTGGTCTCCTTACATTCACCTCCCTCAGCCACTCTTTCATCATCTCCTCAATGAGGTGGTCTCAAAAGTCGCAGTTGCAACACACATAGGGCGCACCGCACCAAAGGGCGCACCGCACATTTTGAGGGAAAAAAAAGACGTTTATGTGAGCCTTATAGTAGTGAAAATACGGTAGAAGCTGCGAGGGAAACACTGTTACGCACACAACTACACAGGATGCCCTGGCCTACTGAACTTGGATTTTTTTTTATGACATATGTAGGCATTTCACATCCTTATTGTGGTTCAACACCCTCACTTCATTTTGAAGCTTATAACCGCATGTTTTTCTATATTTGACATCTGTAATAGTTTCTGAGAGATGACAGTTAAATACTGGCACGTCCCACTACCATGGAATTGCATCTATTCTGTTGTAATCACATTTAAAGATATAAGCAACATGTCTAGCTTTTATTTCCATGTAATTTTATGCTCTAATATTTATCTAGGATATTCATTGTACTTAAGCATATAACATTGTTTTCTTTTGTCCTTGGAAGAGGTAAAGATCCCCACACACATGATTCAACCTCTAGAATTTAAAAAGACTTTCATCGACATTGGTAGATAAGCTGATACCCCCCCATATAGATTACTGTTGAATTCATATATCTCTCTTTTTTCTTTTTCAGATTTTATAAGCAAAACAAAAACCTATAATTACACACATTTTCCCCATTGCTTTTTCAAGCATCATTCTGCTTCTTTCTTTTTTTTACTCTATTTCTATGTTTCCCTCTCATAGATTTTTAGTTCGTGTTTCGTACCTCGAGATTTACAACGAGGAAGTGCGGGACTTGCTGGGAAAGGACCAGCTGCAGAGACTTGAGGTAACAGGATATAGAAATCGATCCACTTATTATAATTATTAACATTAAGTTGTTATTAAATGTTATATTTGGCTTTTTTTATGGCAAATTTGGGTTTGCAGCTTTTTATGATAAAGATCTTTTTATTTTTTCTTCCTGTTTTTTGCGGGGGGGGGGGGGGGGGGGGGTTTAGGTCAAAGAGAGACCAGATGTTGGCGTTTACATCAAAGACCTCACTGGTTATGTGGTAAACAATGCGGATGATATGGACCGGATTATGACATTGGGTCACAAAAACCGTAAGCAGAACTATTGAACTGATATGAAATAATCACAGTAACATTATCAATCTATTCTGGAAATAAAACCCACACAGGTGACCATGAAAACCCTACAGCTACAGAAAAGACTGCTCCACTCAGGCTGAATACTTTTATTCTCATAACTGACACAGTTCCATCGGCTGCGACGATATAACAAAGACGGCCAGTGAGCTGCTCGGCATAAAATGCTGCTTTGGCATCTGCACCAAGCATAAGCAGACCCATGTTTAGAGTTTAGGTTCAAGGACTCAGAAAAGTTCAAAACTAGCTCTTTAGAAACATCCATAATTCTGAATATTATATATATTTTATATATACATATATAATAAAAAAGCAGCTTAAACTATTTAACTAGCAGCTCAGAGCTGCAACCGCTTGAGTATTAGTGTTGTTTTCTACTAGATGCAGTGAAGACAGAACTATCTACGAAGCCCTCTTTGCACATGCATTAATTCGATAATTGGTGCACCTTTTCAGTTTGAAATATCCCTGTTTAAATGAGCACCTGAGAGGCTGCGATAAAAGATTAGGACTTTTTAATATGGCATTCACTAAGGTTTTAATACTCATTTCTATTTAAAATAGCATGACTTACAAAAAGAAGTTTTACCAAGGTAATCCTTAAAACCAATAGATGCCTCATCTTTGATGACGATTGATGAGGGGGTCAGAGTAATTATGACACGACCTACCTACTCTTGGTATGTTTGACTCAGAAGACACTTTATAAAAGCTATTCACTGCAGCCTTATTCTGTTAGAAGCGCATTATGCCATCTCCAAAGTTAGACTGAGGGTATAATACAAAATGTGACACAAACCTTTGTGACTAATGGTTTATTTAAAAGCAAATGTATTAACCATGTACACATATATAACACTTTTACCTATATTTTACCATTATAGCAGTCACACTAAGATCCTTTTTATCTATATTCGGATGAGAAAATGTGACCAAAATGAAGTAAGCGTGGAGCCCCAATAAGGTGGTTAATGTACTTTCTCACTCACTGCAGGGAGACTCATTCAAACATATTTTTGGCATTCGAAACAATTTATTCATACTATTGGATCATAATAACCAACAAATACTGAATTCCAAACAGTCATATGCAGTGTTAGTAATACAAGCTGATAATGTCATGGTGAAATGCTTGTGATTGATTTCACAGGCCTGTTGTGTTAGAATTGTTAGGATGAGACTGAATTACTAAAAAGTTATACAGTCTGTTCTTCTGGAGGGCTTTAGATAAGGAAACATTCAAATCAAAAAATGAAACAAAATGTTTGGTGCTACAGGAAGGAGACTGAGCTGAAAGATTCAGGCGAGGCTTTTAAATACATGAAAACTGTCTCTGTTGTCAAGCATGGTGGCGGTAGCACAATGCTTGACTATTGTTAACAGTTTGTTGCACATAATTACTACCACACGCTTCTTTAACTTTAACAGAAGTCAGGAGAAACACACAAAATAAGATGTTGAAATAGACCAGTGATTGAGACCTAAACCATATTCAAAATTTATGGGGGGAAAATAACTTTTCAATAGCAGAACATATTTTGTACATTATCTCAGTATGGGAAAAATAAACAAATTCACACATTCATGCCAGCTACTTTAAAATTTAAACAGATAATTAACAGGAAAAAAATAGATTAGGTTAAGTTTTTATTTCCACATTCATTCAGACACTTCACCTTACCGTATTCCTTTGATTATTACAAACCATAAATTCAAACCAAAATTCGGTTTTGAATTCATTGAATGTCTTGTTTAGGGTCTGTCGGCGCTACAAACATGAACGAGCACAGCTCCCGCTCTCATGCCATCTTCACCATCACCATCGAGTGCAGTGAGAAGGGGGTCGACGGTAACCAGCATGTGCGCATGGGAAAGCTTCATCTTGTAGATCTGGCAGTAAGTATAAGTCAAACAAAGTTACTTCCCTTAGAAATCAGTAAAGCTTGTATATAAGCCTCTCTACACATCCTCCATTTAATCTTGACTGTCTGAACACAGGGTTCAGAAAGACAGGGAAAAACTGGGGCCACGGGTCAGCGTCTGAAGGAAGCAACAAAGATCAATCTCTCTCTCTCTACTCTGGGGAACGTCATCTCTGCCCTGGTGGACGGAAAGAGCACACATGTTCCCTACAGAAACTCCAAACTGACCCGTTTGCTGCAGGATTCACTGGGAGGAAACTCCAAAACCATGATGGTACGGGTAGAGTGGAAACAGAATAATAGGCCCCTTTTCCCATTTTCATATCTCCCACGCATTATCTTCAGAGCTTTCTCATGCTATACAGGTATATATCCCTTTAAAATGGTGTATATACCCTGATGAGGTCTTAAAATATAATTTTCTGTATTGTTATTTTTTCTTTTCACGTATCTGATGTAATATTAAAATACTGTATGTGTAGTTCACTGTGTGAATACATTTATTAAAATGCACAGACTTTTTATATAGATTTATTTAGTAATATTAGGATTTATTTAGATGCTCATGTAAATAAAACGCACATAGAAAAATAGACACAAATAAGACCTTACTGTGCAGTGTGCTTTTGTGTCAACAACCCGATCCAATCCAGCAGACTTTTATTTGCACACTTGGCTTTAAGTCTGTTGTTTTTTTAAACTTTAAGGTTTTAACTCTCTATGAATATTCCTAACAGTGTGCAAACATAGGCCCTGCAGACTACAACTATGACGAGACCATCAGCACCCTGCGCTACGCTAACAGGGCTAAAAACATAAAAAACAAAGCTAGAATCAACGAGGACCCCAAGGATGCCCTTCTACGGCAGTTTCAGAAAGAGATCGAGGAGCTCAAGAAGAAACTGGAGGAGGGTGAGAAACCAACATGAAAGAATTTACCCTGAAGCTTAAGTTTTTTTGTTGAGCAGAGAATAAATGTGTTGATAAAACGGTTTGTGCAACACCAGGTGAAGAAATCTCTGGCTCAGAAGGCAGTGGATCAGAGGAGATGGATGAAGGTGATGATGAAGCAGGAGAGGCAGGAGAAGGCAGACGGAGACGAAGGGGTAAGATTTAGTCATCAACATGCAGAGTGTGTAAAGTTAGGCTTAAAGCAGTCCTGTGTGACTAAAAAAAATTGTGTTTATGTAGTTTAATGTGGGTTCATTGGATAGGAATAGATAACCATCTACAGAATCTACTTACAGCAACATGACCACTAAAGGTTGTTTATTATTAAAATGAGTCATTGATGAGCTACTCTGATTATAATCACATTAATTTGCTTCGAGGTTTGGTGCATAGTATGACTTTAAAGCTGCATTATCCTTGTAGTGTGTGCATTTAGGAGTTCCCCTGGTGCTCTCAACATTTACTCTTAGCTGTGAGTGGAAGGTGTGAAAAATAAGAAAGAAGTGTTCTGTCATCATCTCAGAAATGTCTTTATTTCTCTGTAAGATTTCATCACAATTTTAAGTATTCACTTGCTGTGACTTATTAACCAACTCAGCCTGTACTCGTTTGATCTAACACATCAGCGTTTCTAATGTCTCAACCTACAGCTTCTCCATTCTCTCATTTTCTTAAACCTGGGAGCTCGTTTTTTTACTGAAGTTTCACTTCTATTTATCGGTTCTGTCTGCCACCTTTGGTGCTTCCTTCTGCCTCTTTTTAAGACAGTTGTGATATCAGCAGAAGTAATAGTTCAGAATTTACCCATACTTCCTCAGTGCCTCCAGCTACTGACGACAATCCTGGGGATAGTGAGTTGGAGCGGCCCTATGCTCACCAACCAGCCTGTCCACGAGTTATAGCCCTTTTCACACATGAATACACACAAATTAAGTTTTTGATGTGTTAAATCTAATGCGACATTTGTGCTGCTACACATCGTAGTTTGTTCAAAATATAGTGATTTGGTAATTTTTTGTGTCTTTTTTCATTTATAACTCATTAGGCTGTATCCCCAGGTAGAAAAAAACAAAATGTAGCTAATATTTAAAGAGCGTATGTAAGTTCTGAGGCAAAAGATTGATCAGACAGCTGGTTGTAGCGTCTTTCATAACAGTTGCATACACATCTTTTGGGGTCTAATCTCCATCTAAGCATCCTGTGTCACTGTTGTCTTTGCGGCGCTGGAACGCCACTAACCGACCGATCAAATTTTGATTGACATATTATGTAAGCCTATAAGATAAACTTTTCAATAACGTATTGAAAGTGAAGGGGAGGCTTGAAAAGATATTGCTTATTTATGTGCGTAAGAGTGAGAGGAAAAAGGACTGGAAACGCACAGAAGAAGCAATATCAAAATCCTGAAAGCTGAGCATTTGAAATTCAAAGTAGGTTATTTTTAAATTCAAATAACCCACTTTGGCACTTCTTGGTTCTAATTTGGATCAGTTGTGCCAAAATGGTCCTTTTCCGTTCAAAATGACTCGCAGTTTCACAAAGCTTAGGACTAGAGATATGACATTTTACACAGCGGTTTTCCACAAAATGAACAAGTCTAGTGAGAGAGAAGTCAACTATGACTCATATCCAAATTATAAAACTTTAAATGTTACATTTTTTTATGCAAGAGAAAAAAAAGATAATTTTGGACATGTTTGAAGTTACATAGCCCAAGTTCTGTGAAACTTACAGAGTTTGTACACATATGTCCAGAAACTAGAAGACAGTAACTATAAAATAAGATACATCACAGGCATAAGGGATTTCTAAGATTATTTTGCAGTTCCATGGCATTTGGTATGCAATTCGTTTGTACACAAGCTATAAAAAGGAATAGAATAACCTAAATGCTTTTGGGCGAGGTCCATGTACTGTAGGTGGTTTTCTTTAGGGGGTTTCCTGATGCCTTCGTGTCTGCAAGCTGAGTCAGAGACAATATTTGTTTTCTAACTTTTTGCATTGATATTATTAGAGAATGTATTAAACTTAGGGTGGCCAGATGTCCGGCTTTAGGGCGGACGGTCCGGATTTTCATTGCACTGTCCAGCGTCCGGCGCTGCACCCAGCCGGACGTGTATTTGTCCTCCTTTACCCCCAGATTCCACATACTCCGTCAGCGCTCCGCCCCGCTCACGTACGTCGTGCAGAGTACTTGTCTGTCATGTAAATCAATGAGAGCTGTTCCACATCCTCCGCTCGTCACCGCCCACGTACGTCTTCTCCGTCCTTCACCGTCAAAATACGGAGCTGAGCTATTTTTTGCTCCCCTCCGGTCCGTCCAGATCAAGACCTGCTATTGCAATCACACCAAACAGAAAAAAGAATGTAGAGAAGACCTGGTTTGTCAAATTAAATTATAGTAAAAACAGATCGGTAACTAGAAATTAGAGCATAGTTCGTATATATTCCCAAAAACTAAGAGCAATTAATTAAATAAGTTGATGCAGACTATTGGTGCTTCAACAGACCAGGAAGAAGTTGTGAGATTCTAGAGCGCATCTAACAACTTTAAAAGAAAATTCTTATTGCAGGAATGGATGAAGAGATGATGAGGTTGGAAGCAGAGAATAAACAGAGTTCATACAAACTATGTATGATCCTAGTTATCCCTGTTACAAAAATCCACAACAGAAAGAAAATATTTGGGCAGAAACTGAACATCTGCTGGATGATGATGGGGATTTTTTTAATATGTCAGATTAAATTAAGCGTTCACAGGTTTTATACAAGAATGAGGAACTCTAATTTAATGCTCTTTTAATGCTGTTAGAAATAATTTTAATGCCATCAACAAGTATCATGTACAGAAGTTATTAGTTTACATGAAATAAGGAGCTGTAAGCACAGTTCCATGACTCAAGTTTATATATATATATATATATATATATATATATATATATATATATATATATATGGATAGATAGAGAACATGGTGAAATCATCTTTACTCTCAACAGGCTGCAGCCATGTCATGAATTCCTCTTTTCCAGCCACTTTTTGCAGTTTGCATCGTCCTATTCTCTAGCTCTTTCTCGAGCTTCTTTTCCAAACAACTGCTTTATGATCAATTGCAGCAGTTCTGCGCAAATTAATCGTGTTAAAAATTTTTCACTTTTTAAACACCACAATGTATTAAATAAATACAAATGCTGGGAACCAATTCTTTTTTACATTTCTTTAATATTTTGTTCTATTCAGCTGCACAAGCATCCTCTTTAAACTACTAAGAATTGTGCTATAAATGTGACTTTACCCGATTCTTATGTACACCTTAGTAATTTATTGATATGCCGCACAATGTCCTCCTTTTTGGTGCTATAGAAATGGCCACCCTAATTAAACTGCATGAGTAATGGTGAATTAACGTTTATGTATGCCTGACTTAGACATTTTAAACTGAGTAATGAATGAGTGAGTAAATTTTAGTCGGATTTAGTCACAGTGAAATTTTCCTAGATATGTTTTAGACCAGGAGATGCGATAAGCTTCTGGCGCAGACTCAGATAAGGGTATTCTTACCTAAAAGGAATTTGTCTTTATATATATCTATTAAAAAACCCTGTTGAAAGCCCATCCTGCCTGGGAATATGATCCATAGAAACTCAGGACTGCATTGTAAACTATTTTAGCAACCTACTTTTTTCTCCTTTTTTCCCTTTATTTCTTTTTTTGCATCGACAGTTTAACAAGAAGTAATTTGGTCAACATTGAGATCATGATTGTTAGAGCAATTGTTCCTTCTATTTGGAAAAAGTATGTAACTATTGCAAGTCAACAGTAATAAAAAAACAAACTTAGATTTCTCAATGTGATAATTTTTTTAAGCAAATCGGTTTAAGCTCATTCTGTTTTAATCTAAATGTTTTAGTTTAAAACTCATTGATAATATAAACAGGTAAAAAATACAGGCCAGTTGTAAGTTTCATTGAACTTCTTCAGTTTTGAGGTGCAGTAGAGCCAGGCCAGATGGAGCTGTTGGAAAAGGGGCATAGTGCCAGGGTCTGCACTTTTTACTTTAGTTTCAGGCAATATCCTAAAATTGACAGCATTGGCTGTCATTTCTAAATATTAAAAAAGTTTAGTTGTAACTCTCGTCACCACAGACACGGATCGGTTTCTCTTTAACTGGCATTTATTTCATCTTTTCTCTCATGTCGTTCAACATGAAGCTCAATTTAGGTTCTTTATGACGTTCATACTTTTATGCCATGAGAACTGTACAGACACAAATATATATATATATATATATATATATATATATATATATATATATATATATATATATATATCAGCTCAAACAGCTGTGCTGCATAAGAATAAACAGATTTATCATTAAAACAAAAAATAGTACCTCATTAGCCGCATGTCATGAAGAGAGGTTCTTTACACGCTTGAATCAGGCTTTGTAATCTAGCTTCATAGTGTAGCATCTATTAAATTTAACGTAGTGGTACACAAGTATGAACATTGGTTCCTGGCTAAACATAACAGTGCAGAAAAGAGCAAACTTATAAAATAAATAATAAAATTAACCCGTATTTTATCTTATAACACGTCCATGAATTTACTCATTTAAAGTTTTTACCTAAACAACAACATAAATTATGAATGATTAATTTTAACAAGAATTCAAAAGCACTTACATTAGTTGTATTGTTTTTTGTTGAAATTATTTTGGGTTGATCTGTTGGTTGAAAAAAAAAAATACTGAAAAAAAATGGTTGTCAGTCGCCCCGAACACAATTTAAACGCAGGCAAATGCTAGAATATTTATCTTTTACTAAAAGTGAATCACAAAAAAAATAAAAAAAGAGGGGGAAACTAAAACATGTTTTGAACATATTAGCAATTCTGAGGATCCTGTTTGTCAGTGAACATTTTTTTTTCTTTTATGACCATGTGTAAAAAGGGCTTTGTCTCTTCCTCCTGTCCTTATCACTCTCGTATTCTCACAGCACATCTCCCTTATATTTCCTCCATTTGAGGCCAGACTAAGTGTCTCCCGGGTGCCTGGTCGGATGCACTTTGCAGATTTCTGCCTGCTGTTGTCTGCTCAGTCATAGTAAATGAATACTTCACTCAATGCATTGCTGAGGACTTTGTTTCACATGGTAGCTAATTAATGACTCTTGAAGTCACCAAGGCCTCAGCATGAACATTTTCTAACCAGATTATCAGCCATCATGTTCTGCATGCATTTTTGTGTGAGTTGTTTCCCCCCTAACCACAAAAGACGCACTTCGCCCACGTCATGTTTCATTTTGTGAAAATGCATCTTCTTTCTGTCTCATCTCTATTGACTGGCATCTAGTTTGTTTTGAAGTTGACCCTTATTTGGTGTCTGTTCTGTAGAAACAAATTTCTGAATCACTTTGTAATGTGTTGTTTTTTTTTCCCCCTCTCTCTCTTTCTGTCATTGTTTTGCAAATGATGCCTGTTTGATTTCTTGCTTTACACCTCTTTCTAGAGGTTGGTGGTTAAAACGGAAACGCATTCTAAGTTATGCAGCAAAACTGTCCAGTCATGGTAGAAATTAAGGTTGTTGCCCTCCCACAGTAGTTAAGAATTACTGTGGAAAATGTGAGGGCTGTTTTGTTTCTGATTTCCAAGAATATTTTTTTATTTCCATCTTCATGACAACCACTCCTTCTGTCCACTCACTCACCTAAAGAAAGGCAAAACTTTATCCTCTTCTCCACTGAAACATGTTAATATGAAACATGGACATCGGTTCTCAATTTCCAAAATTATTATCATGGTTTATGTCCCAACAATATGTATTTATGATCTTTGATAACCTTTAAATAAATTTAGTGCAACAAATCACCATCAGAAATACTTTCATCAGTAAAAAGTTCCCCTCTGGGTAATTTCATTTTTATAACTACAGTTACTTTATGAAAGCCTCAGTTTTGTTAGAGAACTACAGTGAATTTTTATTTAATTTCGCTTTGGAATTTATAAAGTATTTTTTAATTTATTTGAATTGGACAAACGGAACAATAATCGACATTGTAAACAGGGTTGAGCATACTGACTGTATTAGCTTAAAGACGAGGATTTACCCACTGAATCCTCACCTGGCCTCCTCCACAGAGCCTTCCTCTCTTTCCCCCATATTCTTTGTCTGTGGTGAATATGATGGACAGAGATCCTCCGCCTCATACGTTCGACTCCACAGCAAAACTGTCCTTTCTGATTATTTTTAATTAGACACGCACCAGTCAGGATTTTGGGAGCCAAGTGGCCATAATAAAAGTCAGTATCTGCTGATCACAGCATCAAATTCATAAACTCTCCAACTGTTTTCTTGTGTATATTGGTACTTGGTATAAAATTTATAGGAAATTGGAAATGATCATGAATTTACGAATTTGCCACTGTTTTAGTAAAGGAGAAACTAATGTTGACACAGGATGACACAGGAATACTTTTGAGAGGTTTGTGGATGGCTTTTAAAAAAAAAAAAAACATTTTAATTTCTCCCTAGAAGGACTGTTTCATCACTATACCTCCAGCGTAGACACTGACACTGCAGTCATCATCTGTCCCCACTCCACCTCGCTGTCTGCATGCTGGCTCCTCTGATCCATCCCCTTTGGGAGCAGTGGTCTGCCATGGTGGAGCGCCAGGGGAGCAATGGGGGGTTAACTGTCTTGCTCAGAGAGCCAGAGAAGCAGCCTTAGGGAGTGGGTTTCGAACACACAATCTCAGGAGACCAAACCCTATGCCCTAACCACTAGGCAGCCAATTCCCACTTTGCAGTTAGAGGATAGCCTCCGCTAGCTGTACTCTCTCCCCGCTAATTATGCCTGGCTGTCTGTTTGTCTATAACAGGGGTGTCATACTGGTTCCAGAAAGGGTCTTGTGGCTGCAGGTTTTCTTTCCAACCAAGCAACAGCACACCAGACTCCACTCATCTCATCAAGTCATCATGTTAAGAATTGGACTCCCTTGATGAGATGACTGGAGTCTGGTGTGCTGTTGCTTGGTTGGAAAGAAAACCTTCAGCCACACTGCACTTTCTGGAACCAGTTTGACACCCCTGGTCTATATGATAACTTGAAAAGTTATGGATGGATTTTAATCACATTTAACAATATCTCAAATTTATGGATAACTTAATTGAACTAATTTGTTTCCAAGAAACACAGTGGATTAATTGTTCATAAACACTTTATAACTCCTGTGGGGGAATCTTCATTGGTAAGAGCCATTTCTCTGGAAACCCAGAGTGGTTGACAGCTGTTGCTAATTCAGAAAGAAAAAGGCACCTATCTATTTGATTTAAGTTTGTTGCAGCTACAACCTGTTCTCTCCTGGTTTTCCCATTTAGTATCAAGCATAGTTAAAGCATCCTTCATTCACAATTACACACAGAGGTTTTAACTGTACCTCACACCGTATTATATAAATACTTTAGTGGTCATGCAGAAAATTCTTATGCGAGGAAACCTAAATATATCCAGACTTCTATTTTCAACTTAAGCTACTTTTGAATCTTTTTAATTTTGTGTGACATGTCAGCTCAGCAGTGCCAGCTAAGTTGACATAACATGAAAGCTTTGTATGAATGGGTAGGTCAGAGATTGCGTAAGGGGCCATACATTTTCACATAAAGTTGGTTTTTATTCATCACAATATTTCTGTGGAAGTTACCAGTCCCCATTTTGGGTTTTATTAATCATACCCCTGATCATTACTACTTTACTAAAATATTATATTACTAAACATATTAAGTACAAATGTCAAAAAGTGCGAGAAATATTTGTTTTTATCTTCTGGTACTTTCAGTTTTTACTACAAACTACACTTTATTTTTACTTTCAGCTGCTTTAAATGGCAGCAGGTAATCCCCGACTGCTGCTCGAAATAACAATAACCTATTTAAGAGTTTCATCATAATCCTGATGAATTTAAGATGATTTTTGAGGTGAAGTTTCTCGCTTAAAAACATGGCAAAACAATTATAAACTTTTAGAATCAGAATCAGAAATACTTTAATAATCCCAGAGGGAAATTACGTTTGTTACACGCTCCAGTTACAGTTTTTTATATATATATATATATATATATATATATATATATATATATATATATATATATATATATATATATATATATATATATATATATATATATATATACATCCAACTACACAATATAATAAAGATAAAAAATAAGAATAAAAAGAGATAAAATATGTACACATATAGCTCTTCTGTATATATATATATATATATATGTATGTATATCTATATCTTTGTGTCATATGATATCCCATATAATGTGTAAAATGACAAAACATGAAACAGTTCAGAGAAGAAGTCATCTTTAAAAAACACTGTTGAACTTCTCTTCAACAAGAGCTTCTGGCTGTGCTCTTGTCATTCCCCTAAAAATAATGACTGAAAGAAATGTCTGTGTTGATATTTCTGTAAAAACTGACAGAAATCACTGGATCATATTTTCTCCTCTCTCATTAGGTAAAAAGAAGGTTTCTCCAGACGAGATGGTGGAGATGCATGCAAAGATTGAAGAAGAACGAAAGGCTCTGGAAGCCAAGCTGGACATGGAGGAGGAGGAGAGGAACAAGGCAAGAGCAGAGCTGGAGAAGAGGGAGAAAGACCTTCTCAAAGCCCAGTGAGTCCCGCAAATACTGTTAAAAATCATACTATATATTGTTGTTGAAATCAAATGTAGACAAGATCCTAAGTGACATATTTTGAACCTTTTTAGACAGGAGCATCACCTCCTGCTAGAGAAATTATCAGCATTAGAGAAGAAGGTGATTGTAGGGGGAGTGGATCTTCTGGCCAAAGCTGAGGAGCAGGAGAAGCTCTTGGAGGAATCAAACAATGAGCTGGAGGAACGGCGCAAAAGAGCAGAGCAGCTGCGAAAGGAGCTGGAAGAGAAAGAGGTATAAAAAGAACATTATCACTAATAATCCTCGATGGGTAGATAACTACGACACCAATGATTGTTTTTGTCTGATAAAACGGACAGAAGAATTATGATGGCACACAGCCTCTAACCTGGTGAATCTATGAGTGTCTGGCCAGAGACAATAGACCGTTTCTCATTCTGTGTACATGTGCGTTCTCGTGCTCGTGTAGTCGTGAAATGTCATCAGCCTCAGCCCTAGTGCTGTTCCAATTCACAAGAACAGCAGACCGAGAATGCACAAAGTCCCCGGATGTTGTTCTCGCCCCTCCCTATTTACTGAGTATGCATCAGAGCAGACTTGTGTGTTCTTGAGATTGACAGCTGTCCCAGCATGCACTGCGGTAGCAGCAGCTTTTAATGGTAGTTAATTAAGTATTAAGTTAAAAGTTTTCTTTCTATTGCTTTTGTTCAATAAAAGTACGTTTTAAGATCATTTGAGGCGAGAACATTATGTCATGCCCAATTTACCAATTTAATGCGTAATTTAAAAAAACCTTTCCTGAAGTTGAGACGACAGCGGTGACCAGCGTAGCTCAGAGGGTAACAGCGGACAGGGCTAACCACAGCCCGTCTGTAGCAGCCCTCTCTTGGCATAGCTGTGTGTGAAGGACCGCTGGCTATGATGCCGATATTTTTGTTTACGTTTTTTTATTTGGCAAAATGTTCATTTGATTTGTGTTTGTCTGACTGTTGATTATTATTCCCCCACTAAATGAAAAAAGTTAGAATTTATTATTATATAAAGACTGAGCGTATGGTGGCGTCACGAGTGCGCTTCTGTTCCAATCGACCCATTGCTCCCGTTCTCTCCAAGTCCAGATTTTCCTGGGTTCTTCTCAATAACATACTTGGCGAGGACACGAGTACGTATGCACGTTCTAGTGAATTGAGAAACAGCCTTAGACTAATACCCGATTTACACTACCCTTGAAAAACCGTGCCGAGACCGGTCCGAGCTCAGTAACTGAGATAACTTATCGTGTGTAAATGGAAAGCAAACTGAACTGAACCGAGCTAGACACAACCGGACCGCACTAACTGCAGACCAGTTCCAGAGGTGGGCTCGGCTCGGTTTTTCCCTGGCTCAGTTCTCTGATAACAAGAGCGTATGAGCGGAACATGTCATCTCCGTCTGGCTGCACATCGCGATTCACACTCCTTTCTAGTAGTTGGCGGTAATGCCGGGCGCCGCCATTTTGATTTGCTTGATTTCCTCCTTCTTCGTCTTCTTCTTCTTGTGTTTTATGGCGGTTGGCAAACAACTTTTGGTGCATTACCGCCACCAACTGCTTGATTTCCTCCTTCAATGCTGGCAGTGATCGTCACTAGGAGGCGAGGAGTCGAGGAACCGAGATAGCGTGATGTGTAAACGGTCGTCAGAACCAAGCTCGGCCTGGTTAACTGATCCAAGCTTGGACCGGTTTCTGCATGGGTCGGTTTTTCAAGGCTAGTGTAAATAGAGTATAAGAGGCATCCTGCTGTTAATTCTTGAAGCTACGGTTTAAAATAAAACCAACCGATTTTGTTTATTGTGGGGAGCAGTTTACCTAAAAGATCAAATCCATGCAGCCTTTACCTGAAGCCTTCTGTCTGCCACTAACAAAGCCTGGCAGGATATGATACCACAATGCTTCCTGCAACCTTGAAAAGCTGCATCATTGTGGTTGTAAATAAGGTTTCCTCAGACTCAGATTCTCACCTCCTTAATTTACTCTGTAATCTGTGATGGTTGTAACCTGTCAGTTCATTGTGACATAGGCCTTATCTGATTTTCTTCATACAAATGAATCTTATTCCATACGTACACACTATGATATATACTGTATTATACAATATGATTCTGTATAACTAATGCTCTTCTCCCTTCATAAACAGCAAGAACGTTTAGATATTGAGGAGAAATACACAAGTCTGCAGGAGGAGGCTCAAGGAAAGACCAAAAAGCTCAAAAAAGTCTGGACTATGCTCATGGCTGCCAAATCAGAGGCAAGTTTCACAAATGAAAAACATCTGGAGTAAATGTGTGTTGCCTTTGAAATTCTCTGCCATCCATTTAAAGTATGGCTGCACACCTTGGATGGCGAGCTTTAGGTCACACACTCTCCCATCCCTCGCTACTTTATACTTTGTCTACAGGTCAGTCAGTATGGGCTTTTCTATGGCCTGTTTTTAAAATTGGAGTTTTAAATTTGATTTACCTTCTCTTTATTATTTTGTTTCTTTAAATTGATCAAGGTTTTTTTAACAACAGATTAGAATAACTCAAACATTTCTATACAACATCTTTGTACTTGTAGACACAAATGTGCTTGTTGGAGCAGCAGCTTTAGTGATCTGTTCTGGGAGAAGCTTCAGGTGATTCTCCTTTATCATGGTTGCTGATCTCCCTGACTCTGTTTACCACTGACGTAGAGACGTGCAGACGATTGCAGACATCCTTAGATCTGAGACGCCCTGCTGCTTGGAAGGCTTTGCTCTAAAAGCTACAACTGATTTAAGGCTCATTATAAATCCAGCAGCAGGCCGCTGACTTCTATGAAATAGTGCGAGATTAAAAAGAATCAGTGACGTTCTCCACTGTTCTCTAATTTAGTCACTTTGGAGCTTTGAACAGGATGTAGTTATTGACTGCCTCTTTACAGCACCATTGATGGGGACTTTTAACATGGAAATTTCCCGATAGAAATCCATTCCTTCCTTCTCACACTACATCAAAGTATTCAGCAAACAGAATTATTTAGTTGATCTTTTTTTCAACTCATCTACGAAGTAAAATACTGATTTCAACATTCCTGTGCATTTAAATATAGTTTCTAATGTTTTACTAGTAAAGCACCTTATTTTTAACATGACAATAATACACTTTAAAATAGGTTTTTACTATTTATGCTTTATGCACCATTAGCTCTTCTGTACATGAAGCTGATAAAGGGGAACTGCAGAAGATCCAAAAGTGAAATATTTTCTTGTTTTTGTACTTGTCATTATTCAGAATAGGTTTATTTTATTTACTAAATTATAACAATGTTTCTTGAAAAAGCAGGTTTTGCAAATATCAACAGTCTAGAAAATAAAACGAAGTTCTTCCTGTGAGACATGATCTTATATTCTGATTCCCTGTTTTATTTATCAGATGGCAGATTTGCAACAAGAGCACAACAGAGAGATTGAGGGCCTCCTGGAAAACATCCGCCAGCTGAGTCGAGAACTACGGCTCCAGATGCTCATCATAGATAACTTTATTCCCCAGGATTACCAGGTCTGGGCCTTTTTGAGGTGTTATTTTGTTTCACATATTTTAAAGTGCTTTTAATCTTGTCCTTGCAAACCTGCAAATGTTTGCCACAATTTTTTTTAACTTCTAAAGCCAAACAGAAAAAAAAGGGTAATCTAACTGTTTATCTGTGTTTATGAATTTAAAGAGGAGGCTGTTTTAAATGTAAAATATAACAAGATTAAACAAGACAAAGAATAATGTGTTATGAATACAACTCTAAAAGAAAGAAAATGTTTTATTTTTCCTGCTGATGTCTTACCCTATTAATCTTATCATATAGAGGTCTTTTCTGTATAATTCATAATGTTTTAGATATTAATATCCTGTACACATTTAAATACAATGTAGAACATGTTTGTTTGATCCCAGCTTATGACTGGGGTCAAATTAGACTGATATAATGCAAGCAGGAGCCTATTGGAATAACACTGCAGGCTGCGTCTAGGAGGCTCCTCCTCATGCACACTGGGTCGAAGCCAAAGTGGCTTGTATGTGTGTTAAAAAATATATTAGAAACTAATATCTTCCAGTGCAGGGGTTTCCAAAATGACTTGATACAGATATGAGTACAGAAAATGTAGATCTTTACTGACACATCTTTTCTGCTTATGGTCTAATTTTCTGCTTCTGGTCTAATACATTACACCAGAAGCATTCAGTCCCTTTCTCTTTAAACTAGACTTTGATCAATAAAATCAGAGTGACACATATGCTCTTCCTGTTAATGGAAACACACAAACCTAGATGATTATTATTAACCCGAAAAATTTGCATTAAATCTTTTTTTTTTTTCAGGTAAACCTGTGAAATTATTCACAGATTATTTTCCACAAACTGATATGCATTTTTGATAAATATTTTGACCCCCTCCCCTTAGCCATGGCCCACAGGGCTAAAAGTTTGGATGTGCCTGTACAGGAGTATGCTTTGCAGACTCTGGTATTTTAAAGTTCCTTGCTCCTGCTTTCTTTTTGTAGGAAATGATAGAAAATTACGTCCACTGGAATGAAGACATTGGAGAATGGCAGCTGGTGAGTTTAGCTTCCATCATTGTGCCTTCAGACTCAAATAATATTATGGAGGTAAAGACTTAATCAAATGTTTTGCTTATTAATGTACTTTTTTAGAAATGTGTAGCTTACACTGGAAACAATATGAGAAAACAAACCCCTGCTCCAGACAAGAAAGAAAAAGATGTAAGTTTCAAATGTTTTCTTCCTGTGGCTGATCTTTGGGATGTTAATTGGAGGGAAAACATCCAATAGTGACCATTTTCTTTTTTTCCTTCACCTTGTTTAGCCTTTTGAGGTGGATCTGTCCCATATGTATTTAGCATATACAGAGGAGAGCATGCGGCAGTCACTGATGAAACTAGAGAGGCCCAAAACCTCAAAGAGCAGTAAGAGTGGCAGACCGAAGACCGGCCGAAGGTAAATTCCTCCCAGCAGATGCCACACTTCATGTGCTGCTACTGTTAGCATCCTATTAGCCTACAGTTCTGCATCTGCCTTCTTTTTTATTACTGTTGTCTCTCTTTGTTTAAAAATGCATTTTATTTATACTTTGTGATTTTGTTAAAAAATAGAAACAAACTGTAACTTTGTATGGTTAAAAAAGTTAAAACAACTCAAGTTTATTTTTCTGAATACCGGATGAGTCCTGTCCCTTTTTTTTTTTCCTTTTTTTTTTTTTTTTATACCGCTTATCAAATCAGAAAAAGCTATTTCCTGACATGATGGGAGTTCCGGCTCATCTTTATCGCGTGGGAGCATTTGTATGTCTTTTCATCTTAAAAAGCAGAAGTTACCGTATATATATATATATATATATATATATATATATATATATATATATATATATATATATATATATATATATATATATATATATATATATACCGTATTTTCACGACTATAAGGCGCACTTAAACGTCTTTTTTTTCCCTCAAAATGTGCGGTGCGCCCTATGGTGCGGTGCGCCCTATGTGTGTTGTAACTGCGACTTTTGAGACCACCTCATTGAGGAGATGATGAAAGAGTGGCTGAATGTAAGGAGACCAGGTGTTTTTTTTTTCCACCCCTCACAATCGCTGTTAATATGTAACTCCATGCGTGCCCATATCACAGCTGATGTGAAAAACATGGGGAAACAAATTAACCCTGTGCTCGCTGTTCAACCGCTCGACATCGGTGTGAACCGGACCCAGCAGGTGCAGCAGAAGCAGCGAGTTTACATGCAAAGTCAATGGTTGACGCGCGTATAAGGCTGGGTGGCTCCGTATGGATGCGTGGCTGAGGCAGGTGTATCTGAGAAGACTAGGTGGTTTTTTCCACGCATCACCATTGCTGCGTGCCCATCTCACAGCCGATGTGAAAAAAAAGGTGAATCAAATGAACGCTGTGCTCGCCGTTATCCCGGGGGTCTGACAAAGGAGCTTCCACCGCTCGACATCGGTGTGACGCGGCCGTTCAAAGTAAGGCTGCGAGCGGCGTGGGAGCGATGGATGACAGACGGAGACCACAGTTTCAGGAAAAGTGGGAGGCAGCGCCGGGCAAGTTACGCCACCGTTTGCGGATGGATTGTAGATGCTTGGACTAACGTATCTGCTGGCTCTGTTGTTCAAGCTTTTGCAAAAGCCGGCATTATTTCTGAGGAGCTGCGCTGCACGGAAAGTGACTGACAGCGCAGAAGGGGAAACTGGCATGTCGGATTTAGCGCAGCTGTTTAATTCAGAAACAGAGGATGAGGACTTTGAGGGGTTTGATTAATACTCTGTAATAAATACTTGAATAAAGCACAATCATACTCAGTTTTGCTCCCGCTGTATTTTTCTACCTGAAAACTTAATACAACAGCAGCCTATGGGCCGCGGGGCATACGGGCTCACCTCCGCAGGTGTTTTCTCATCTAAATAATCTCAATCTTTTTAAGTGATAAAGCCCACCTGAAAATTTAATCATTGCAGTCAGTTCATCCAGATTATTATCCTGCCTATGTTTTAAGTTAATTTATGCGTCAATAAACGAAGAAGAAGGGGAAACTGGCATGTCGGAAGGGGAAACTGGCATGTCGGATTTAGCGCAGCTGTTTAATTCAGAAACAGAGGATGAGGACTTTGATGGGTTTGATTAATACTCTGTAATAAATACATTAATAAAGCACAATCATACTCAGTTTTGCTCCCGCTCTATTTTTCTACCTGAAAACTTAATTCAACAGCAGCCTATGGGCCGCGGGGCATACGGGCTCACCTCCGCAGGTGTTTTTTCATCTAAATAATCTAAATCTTTTTAAGTGAGAAAGTCCACCTGAAAATTTAATCATTGCAGTCAGTTCATCCAGATTATTATCCTGCCTATGTTTTAAGTTAATTTATGCCTCAATAAACTGTATCAGAGGAGTAATCACAGCCCTGTGTCATCAGCATGCCGGTTCCCAGGTTTGAATAATACTTTGTAATAAATACACCTTGCAGCTTTATTTGCTGTGATCAGTGGGAATAAAGTAGTTTTAATATGTTTTTAAGTGGGAAAATCCACCTGAAAGGACATGTAACTGTATATAAAAAACGCGCCCTATAGTCCGGTGCGCCTTATGTGTGTGTTAAATACAGAAATGGGACACATAACTGAGACTGCGCCTTTTAGTCCGGTGCGCCTTATGGTCGTGAAAATACGGTATATATATATATATTAGAGATGTCCCGATCCAGGTTTTTGCACTTCCGATCCAATACCGATATTGTTTTTGGACTTCCGATCCGATACCGATACTGGCCGATACCAGCCTATCCGAGCATGTATTTAAGTTTAAGTTAAAGTATTTAGCCTTAGTTGTAAGACTCATGTTGAAAAGGGTTTTAGTACTCTTGATAACATCTAGCCAGCTGAATTAGGTGAGATTGAATAAAACACAATGATTGGTAACAACAAACTTACCTGTTTATTAAGAGATAAACACAAACTGGACAAAATTATGAATAGCAATCTGAAATTGCACAGTGAACAGTAAAACCGTAAACAGTTAAAGGTGCAAGTATTACTGTAAGTTTTAATAAAAATGCAAAACAGGGAAACACTGGCGCAAAATAGTGGAATGTATCGTTTCAATCGGAGAAACTGGAAAATACGGACCGGATTTTTTTTTTTTACTGGATCGGCAGTCTGGATCGGCATTTTACATGCTTTGCCGATACGCATTTTTTTGCCAATATCGGCGTCCCGATCCGATACGTGGATCGGATCGGGACAAGCCTAATATATATATATATATATATGCTAGGGATCTTTTCAACAAACTCTGAGACTTGATCAGTTTAATGGACTCCATGCACAACTCCACCACTTCCCAAGTTTAAGGCAGCTCCTTTGTTTCCTGTCCATTCTACTGGATGAACTGATTAATCCAGGTGTGCCTGACTTCACTAACAATGGTTAGTGTAGTTTTGCATTGAGTTCATTGCCTTTATTAGCCTCTAGCTGTCACAGATTTAAAGCTTTCACAGAAAACCTTAAAGGAAAATTCCGGTTTTTAACACTTTTAGCCCCTTTTCCGTAGTGTCCAGGATGAAATCGAATGATCGACACCAAAATTTTGACGATTGGTCCTGTCTCTGCTATTTGGCTCATGCAGAATCCCCCCTGGCTGCTTCAGAATGGCTTTCATAGTGCATGTCCGATAATGTCCTTAAAACAACCTTAAACATTCTTTTTTTTTAAATATGCTACTCACCGAGTCGTCAACGCTGTTCAATGACGTTCAAAAACAAGTTTCGTGAAGAAAAAACGTTCCTGTAGTGTTTTATTTAGCATTTTGTAAATCCCATTGAGTTCTGTTGGAATAGTCAATATCCCTCCGCCACCGGAAACGGAAAGGGGGCCTGTTTACGCTTAGTTATAGTCTTTTCGCAAGGCCCAAGTGTTTCTGCTTCACTCTGTGTACTCCGACGTCGAGGTGCTAACGTCTCTGTTAAACACTTTAAAAAACTCTGAAAATGGAATACGAAAGGTGGATTCTTGAGGAGGACATATTGGACTTTGAGTTTGACGGTACAAACATTGTCGCCAACTAGTGGTCTGGAGTGTGCAACGCTTCAGATTCGAACGGGAAGCGGAAGTTTATAAGCGGTTGTGATGTATCGGAAAAAATAGTTCTGGGATTTACAAAATGCAAAATAAAACAAGACAGGAACGGTTTTTCTACACGAAACTTTTTTTGGAACATCATTGAACAGCGCTGACGACCCGGTGAGTAGCATATTTTAAAAAAAGAACGTTTAAGGTTGTTTTAAGGACATTATCGGACATGCACTATGAAAGCCATTCTGAAGCAGCCAGGGGGGGATTCTGCATGAGCCAAATAGCAGAGACAGGACCAATCGTCAAAATTTTGGTGTCGATCATTCGATTTCATCCTGGACACTACAGAAAAGGGGCTAAAAGTGTTAAAAACCGGAATTTTCCTTTAAAGATCTACAGCACTAAATGTACCATTACGTTAAATTCTGATAACCTTTAGTTTATGTTATGATCCGGCAGTCACTTGATTGGTTGATTAACTGAGTTGTTCATTTACTGGTTTTTTCTTGAAAGTGATGCAGGAGGTCGAATCTGATCAGAGATAACAGTATGTCAATGCTGCATCAGAAGTTACCAGAATTTAGTTATTATTGTGTTCACTAGTTGGAACTGACTTTTTTTTTAACCTTTTACATCATTTTCTAACCCTCAGAAAAGTGCATTCCTATGTTATGCTTTGGAAAGTAATGACATAGCTCTGCTCCATATTAATAGTATTACCATTTATTCCACTTACGGTTTCTTAATGCTTTCTGTTTTCCTTGCTTCTGAATTAAGCTTCACAAAAATGTTCCAGTATGATTGTGTTTAATATTTTTGCAGGCCTGTATCATTACCATTTTAATGTGTTTCTTGAGATGTTGCTGATGGAAATTGCTGATATGGCGATACGATGCTATTCTCAGAAATCAGGAAATTTAAAGTTACCCAAACTGTTTTTTGATAGCTGTAATCATGCACCCATCTCCCCACAGGAAAAGATCAGCAAAACCAGACACGGTGATCGATTCACTTCTGCAGTGAAGATGTGCAGGATTGGCCCCACTGCAGCTCTCCCCTACACTCCTGCTTTGATGTAACATAAAAGAAGTATTTAGTCCCGCTTATGGTTGAACAGTAATAGACTTTGAGCGCACACTGTATTCATGGTGAGGTTTTAAATGGGATCAGGCAGCACCTTTTTTTCTTTTTAGGAAAACAACCACTAAAGTATAGTATGGACTTTATGTACCTTAGAGCTGGGAAGAATCAGATTGCAAAAACTTTACATTAAAAGACAGCTGCTTGAAGCAGAGCATCACAGTCACAAGTCTCCATGTATTTGTTTTGATTTGATGTGGTAGACCAACAGAAACTAGTGCATAGTTGGGAAGTGTAAAGAAAACAATTGATTATTTTAAATATCCTTTAATTATAGATCTCAGAAATTGTGTTGTACATTTTATGCATCCCTTTAAGTACGCCTAGGCTTCATAGAACCTCATTTAAGTGTGATACTGCACAGACACACACCCTTTACCTTGTATAACAGTGTGTTCATGGTATCTGCAGTGTTAGTTTTTCACATACAGCGGGTGAAAGTATAGAACACGCCACAACAATACCGAGTGTTCAGGGCCCAAAAAAATACTAAGGTCAAGAGCCAGAACTTCTAGGCATGTTCAGTGGCATGCTCCCCCAGAGAGGTTTTAATTCTGTCATTTAAATCTGGTAGTTTTCAAAATCTTAAGGAGCAAAAACGTCATTGTGACTTTTTAAAAGGCTCAGCTATAAATTTCTCCTCTCCTGTCTCCCCTACCAGCCAGAGTGTCAGGTCTAAGCACCTAAAACATCATACATACATGCAGGGAAAGAAAGAAGGCACAGAGACAATTAATTTAGTTTACTCGTGAGGCGAGTAGGAAGAGACTGCGGAGTTTACAAATCTCCAACCTACTCTGCTATTTATTGGAATCAGTGATCCTTGGTTACAACAGCTGAGACTACTTTAGTGACTAGAGACAACATGAGGAATTCAGACTTGCAGTCTTAGTAAATATCCTATAGATAGCTGTTGAACCTGTCCACCAAAGTTCAGCAGGGCGAGTGCTGCTCGTAGATCAACCACAACCTCCCCAAAAGCAAATCTACATACTTCAGAAAAGATGGCTATAAACACATGCACATAGCACACAGCTTTATGCATGATAACACCACAGAGATACATTTATATACAATTATTCCAACACAGACATTTCAGACATTATAAACCTGATTTAATGTCATCTTTCTTTTGAAGCTTGGTTAGAAATGTCGCAAAAGACATTACAGTATATTTAAAATTAGTTGCTTCATAATTACTTGAGCTTTTAAAATAGACACCCAAGGGTTTCTGCGGGTCATTGAAAATCATTAAAAGTCATTTAAATTGTTATTTTTTTTAAATTAAGGCCTTAATTGGCAAAAAATTCATTAAATGTGTTTATTGTGGCATTTAAAATGCTTTCTTAAAAAAAAAATTTGTATAAGAACACTTTGGTCAGTCATATTATATCATGATGTGTTTGCGTGAAACTGCTTCCGGTTGATCGCAAAGACGTATGTTCGGAAAGAAGCTTGAGTCGGAGAAAAAGCTAGAGAATGGGGAAGAATGCCAATTTCAACAAAAGTGGTTGGAAAACGAGGAATTCGGGGCATGGCTGCAGCCTGTCGACAGGTACCTGTTGGTGGCATTAAAATTATTTCTAAGAGCATTAAAAAGCATTAGAGTTATTAATTCCTGTATAAACCCTGCACCCAGACCCTGATACACTATTATGTTGGTAATGGTGCCTAATATAACATATTTCTATTGTAATCTTACACAATACTTCAGTTATCACACATTATACATCCAATTTTTGAAGCCATTCAGGTGCAGCATCTTTCTTTTCTAGCACCTTCTCTCCCTCTATCTCTCTCCTCACGGCTCCTCCTGCTGCTCGGCCCAAAGTTTGGTTACACTAAGCCTTTTCCTCCTTATCCTGTTTTCCCTTTAGTGAAAAATAGAAACACAGTGAAGTATTGAAAATGATAGAAAAGAAAACGATATGCATTTCAACATCATGTTTGAATTAGTTTTATTAGAAAATGAAATTATACTGAATTAGTTTCCCACGTTCCAGAGGAGCCCAGTGTCAAAGAATTAAATAGTAAAACTAGCTATTAACAAGTATAAATATTAAAAAAAGAACATGCTAATTTATTCATGTCAATGCCATCTGCAATGAGCAACATCCAACACTGAGAAATTAAATGCTGAGTAAAGTTTCATTTATCGCACCGTTATCACAACTCATTAAGCTGTTCTCCGCCTACATTAGCAGCTCGATGTGCTCCTCTTCAAGTGACTGATGGACTCATGAGGCGGTGGCTTGTATGTGGCAGTTACTGTAGCGACAATGCGTGCTGACTCAGGATGATTGAACAGCTACTTTTTTATTAGTTAGTTGCTCTAGTTTCGCTCTTCAAATATAAAACAACTCACAGGTTAGTGAGAGTACAAGATCATTGTCTTACAACCAGTTTCACTGTAATGTATTTTAGTTTTTTATCACAACTTGCAATAAATAAATGAATGAAATTCTAAGGACAGGACCTCGGAGTCCTCAATGTTAGTGATGGCCCTGTGTGTGTTCAATACTTTTTCCCTGTGCCATTCCACTATTACACATTATTTAATTACTGGACATATGGTTTGATTTCTCTGTATGTGTGGATTGCATGGATTGCTACCAACATCTGGTTAAAATGTCATGTCATTAGCAACTCTATATATTTACAGAGAAAAATGGTGGCGTGGTCAATAATAATTTCACTCACTGTAAGGCGGCTAAAGAGCTTAATGTTTTGCCACCTTTCCTTCATGGCTTGTTCATATGCGAACAGGGCTATAAATCAGCAGGGGCTTCCAGAAACCACCAGATGTATGAAGTGAGCAGGTAACAGTTGTCCTGTCAGCAGTTTCTCCCACCTGAGCCGTGGATCTGTGCAGCTCCTGCAAAGACTCTTAGCTGCTTCTTAAGTTAAGATCCTGGTAGCCTGGCCTGTCAGCTGGGGTGGAAAACCATGAAAAGTCTCTTTTGAGGTTTTGAGGTTATAGTTTGTGTACTTTCTGTAAGCTGTTTTAGGTTTGGGATCATTCTTTGTTCATTAGCTCTGCTTCATGTCTTTGCACAAGTCTACCCTGCCTGCTTTCTTCATCAAGTTACTTTTTAATTAATGTTCTCTAAAGCAGCGGTCCCCAACCTTTTTTGCGCCACGGACCGGTTATGTCTGACAATATTTTCATGGACCGGCCTTTAAAGTGTGGGGGTAAATACGATCAAATAAAATGATACAACTGGCATAAAATCAAATACAAACAGCATAAAAATAAAACTCACAATTATGTTGAATTAGTGGGAGCCCTGAGCTTATTTCTCCAAAACAAACCGGTCCCATCTAGGCGTAATCGGAGACAATGACACGCGAATTGTGCCCCTGATGTCCAGTCTGCTCCACAGCTTTGTTTTGGTCGCTGTAACCGCAGAAAATCCCGCTTCACAAAGATAGGATGTTATAGATAGGATGCGTCTTGACCTGAATTAACCTGTGTCAAGAGGCACAGATGCACCGACTGATGTAATTTGGAGATAATACCCCAATGTCTTATATTTTTCAAAATAAAACATCACTCAGACTCTGATCGTCGATAAATTATAAATATATATTTTTTTCTGTGCGGCCCGGTACCAAATGACCGACGGACCGGTACCGGTCCGCGGCCCGGTGGTTGGGGACCGCTGCTCTAAAGAACCTCTCTAAACCTCTGAAGAGGATTTGAATTTGATTTTATCTAAAATTAGGGCTGTCCAGAAAAATGCATGTTGCACTTTTCAAATTTAGTTTTTGCACTCCTAAAACCACACATCACATTCATTCCACTTTACAATCATTCCCTAATTTAGTTGGTCTATCATAAAAATAAAGCACATTTAAGATTTTGGTTGTTGTAAAAAGGAGAAATTAAATAGATGATTTTGTAAGGTGCTGTAGTGAGAAAGTTTGAAATGAAAGGACCCAGCTGGCCTACAAGCCACATGCATATCTGCTCAGATGTATCCTGTTAACACATTTAGTCCTCACATATTGAACTCTTTACTCCTAGATGAACAGATTTATGTTCATGAGATGATTGAATGGTTTCACTGGATTCCAGTTAAAACCAAATTATTCTACTGTACAAACAAGCAAACACTTTACATTCAGCCAAAGTGCATAAAGAGTTTTGTTTTTAGGTCAGAAGCATTAAGAGCTTGCATGCTGTGTAGCTCTTATGTCTGCACCATTTCCTACACTTGAGTCACCTTTTTATTTTCAACCCTTATTGTGATGCATACAGATAGATGAATGGCTCTTTATGCCTTACTTGCATAGGTTTTGCTAAATGTGTTCTTTAGTGAATGTGAAATTGATTTTTTTATTATTATTATAATTGTAGTGTATGTCACATGTTTACTAATATCTGTTTTTTATTTAATAAATTATTATTCATGCCTGATCTCAGATTCGTGTTGCTTTTTGATGGAATAGTACACAGCTTTTTTATGAAAACACACACCAAGTTTACATAAGTGACGCATCTTAAAGTAAAGATCCCAGTTTGGCTTGTTGTAATAATAGAAACAGATTTGCATCAAATTTTCATCATCACATTTTGATTTATTTATGTATAAAAACATAAAAGGTACTTTACTGAAAAGACAAACAGGTAATAAATATAAAGAATACATTAAATAAATAAAACATCACAATTAATAACTTAAGGACAGCCTTTTAAGTCTCTTAAATTGGGACACTTGAAGGCTTTGCATGCACATTTGTCCAGTTCGCAAAGAAATTGTCTTAGTGTTTCTTGGGGTTGACTCTTTTGCAGCTGGCATTGTCCTTCATTGGTCTGAAAAATAGAAAATAATTTTGAATTATTTTATTATATAAAAGCCCCTCAAATGGACAGCAGATGTGTTTCAAATTCACTTTAAATTCTACATATTTTGATTGATTTGATTCAGAGTATCCAAATGATTCTCACCCATTCGTTGTATTTTTTTAACAGCCCGGGTAGCTTTCCCAGTATTTGCTTCACTGTCTCGTTCTTACAAGATTCCTCCTCCAAAATCTTCTCAGCCAAACAGAAGACATGCTTCTATAAGACAGAAAAATCATTAATTGTTACCAACAACATTTGGAAGTTTAGCCTTAGATAAAGTATACTACAAATCTTTACATCTAACTCATTTAAAACCCACCAAAAACTCTGGGGGAACCTAATAACCAACATTAAACTCAAATGTGAAGAATACATTTCAGCTTGTCATTATTTAATCATAAATTTTGCAAAGTTTAAAGGAATTTAACCTTTTGTAAATACTGAAATAGGTTAAATACCATGAATCTGTATGTAGTTTAAGATTGATGGATTCAGTTAAAAGGTTTCAAATAATTACTGCCAAACATTTAAAGACAGGCATCCAAGAAATATAGTTTCCAACTTACCACACATTTGACTCCGTTTCCTTCTCTTATTGTTGTAACACATATTTTTTTCAACTACAATAAAGAAAAAAAGGTAATTATTAAGCAGACCAGGAAATAAAAAGAAACCTGAAAGTATGTCTTTTTCCTTTTTCTTACCAATACTGATTGATTCATTGCATCCTTGATAGATTGCCGTATTTCCTTCAGAAGATGGACACAATGGGTTTGGTTCTTTGTACAGTTGTGCACTAACCCTCCATGAACCAGAGCCACTATCGTCAGTGTAAATAGAGCGGTATACTTGTTCAGAACGGTCCACATGTCTGTCTCGCAGGAACTTTAGCGTTAGCTGTTTCAGGTTCAGCAGAAGAGTTCAATTCTCCTGCATAGCCTCAATACTGTCGCTTATATCGGCGTCACATTGACTGTGGTCACAGACACGTCATTGAGAGGAAAACACCAAATTGGGACAGGATGATGTAGAAGTCTTATCTTATCTAGTTTAACTTTCAGATGTTCCACTATATATTTGTTAGTTACTGAGAAATCGACTCCTCCAAGAACCACAGGTCATCACCTTTATTTAGATGTGTCACTTTCTATTGCCTTTTAATTCAGTTTGTATGGGAAGTGACATGAAGGCCCTTTTATAACTTCCACATTGTGATCTATCAAAGCTAGAAGAAATAGGATGAAATAATGCAACCATTAAGAAATATCCTACGTATAGCCTTATTAAAGTGATGAGTGTCTCTGGTTGTTAATTTATTAATAAAGTAACATACTTTCCCTGTGTGACATGGTGAAATGACTGCAGTGTGTGTGGGCACATGGCAAGCTTTAGACTTTAACCCACACATTATAAAAGGGAAAATTTGAAATAAAAAATCCCTTCCAGCATGACTTTATGCACGTCTCTGGACCTCGGGACTAATATTTGTTCTGTGCACAAAATATTAGTTTATATAAATTATCTAACCATGAAACACAACTGCAAATATTAGAAGCTGCAACTGCAACTTTTCTGTTTCATCTTCGTAGCTCTGTTTTTAGAGTTTGTGACCACAAAAGCTGTTCCTGGACTTATATCTTTGAAAAATCTAAGATCCTCTTCACCACACATTACAGCTCATGATGAAACATATTTGCACTTTTGCATCTTTGAGTGACACCAGTTTGAGCTCCACCTGCAGGTAACAGGAATATTCAGAGTCATCATTACCAGCTACAGTTTATTTAAAATGAAGGAGATGGTCACTTAAAAAAAGGCTGTTTCTTAAGGCTTCGCAAATTTTGGGTCTAAACCCCGTTAGGGCATCATGAGATGATTCTCCCAATCATTTTAGTGGGTTCTTTGGGGTGTATAGATGGCCAAAGTATATCATGAAATACATACATGAATGTGCCATGAAATGAATAAATGTAGCATTATTTATCTATAACACCACTCAAATATTAAATATACTATTTAATTGTAAAATATTTAATTAAGTATCCCATTAAACAAAAAATATATATTATTATTTTTGTAATATAAAGTTTATTACTTCAACTATTTATATTTCTAAGGGGTTGCAAGTCTATTGCATTATTGTTTTTGGAAATACACAGGCTGAAATAAATGCTGAAGCAGCAGTTTTTGGTTCCACTAATGCCACAGCTGCAGAATCCATATGTCTGACAACATGAAATAGCAAATAAAATCTCTAGAAAATTTCCCCAGGTAACACATATACCTCAATCAGTCTGGAAGGGGTTACACAACATAAGGTTCAAAGATTATAAGTTAACCACAGGAAGAGCCACTCTCTGCAAATGAAAGGAGCAGTGATGATCATTTGGCAATAAGAAAGAAACTGAGCAAGCAAAAAATCACACCTAAGTAGAAATCTTAGGCAAAAACCACTGACTGATCAAACAAAACAATCGGACATTTTAGAAGGTGTGAGTTCTCTAGAAGAGAAGAAAATAACATTTCACAAAAGGAACATCGACAAGACAGTCAAAAATTTTGGCAGTTTGATGATCTTGGCCATTTTACAATTGATGGAACCACGAATTTCCCCCTCTTGTGAAAAATCCAGAATGAGAGTAGTAATCTGTCAGTTTGTGATGTTCAGCTAAAGCAGACTTGGTCTTGCAGCACGACTTATATTCAGATTAAATCAGTAAAACTACCTTTTAACAATATTTAAAAAAAATAGAGTGGCCTTGCAAAAGTCAGCTTCTTAAATGGAATTATGTATGGAAGGATTATAGATTATGGACACGGATTATGTTCTGATCCAAATTTTTTTGCACAAGATTCACTTGGAAGGGTCTTAGATATTAAAGAATCCTAAAGTAACCTTCCTCTGCCACTCAAAACCAGTTTACTGTGTGTTGTGGATCATCGTCCTGTTGTAGCATCCAATCCCATCTGGCTTTCAAATGCTTCGCGGTTAATCTGAGATGGATTTGGAGGTTTTCCATAGACTTCATTTTTCACATAGATTATGTCACCCAGCTGTTCTAATCTGAAAAAGACCCCGAGCATGATTCTACCATCACCCTGCTCAAAACGTGCACAGGGTTCTTGGGCTTCAAAGCCCCTCCTTGGCAACCATGTTTCCTGTTTTCGTGAATAAACAACTCTCTGTCACGTCTTTACAAGAAATTTTTTAGTGGAATTTATGCAAGCAGTTGAAAAAGTCAGTCCAGCTTGAAGAGTTTATTTTGGACTGGGACATTGTGATGGCTGCATGTGCAAACACACAACAAATAGTCTGGTAATTCTTTCATTAAATAAATCTTATATTTCATTTTTTTTTACTTTGATTTGACATTGGTTAACTATTTGGATGAACACATTTAGTTGACTCATTTAGTCATTTCTTGCTTTTTTGGTTTTCTGTACATTAATATATTTTTCATTTGAGTTGCCATGGCCAGTAAAGGAAAGGAGACCCCAGCCGCAAAGGATCTCCTCATTGACATGGAGGCCTAATTGGACTCTTCCATTTACTTTTAGAAGGGGTGTAGGAAGGGTTTAGGTTTCTTTATTTGGTTTTGTTTTCTATAATTAATTTGGAAAGTTTAATATTAAAGTCCTCTTCCTCATAGGTTGCTGATTTAGTATGGTGCTGATTAGTTTGGTCTTTTGTTGTAGTTTCGTTTAGGCAAATGTGTTTTATGTTTCCCTCTTGTTCGAAAATGGTCTGGTCAACCAGTGTATATATGTTTCCCTTGTGGGTCAGTTAGGTAGGTCTTTTCCTGTGTCAGGTTTGTATTATGCTGATTTTTGTTATTTCTTTTCCTTGATTGGCCCAGTCTTGTTAGAAGTTTGAACTTTATTTTTTGCTAAATACATTTGTTACTATTTTTTCCATCAATGACTGCCCTGTGCTTCTCAGATTTTTTTGGCTCGGTCCCTCACAGGGATCCTTTCTTCCTACGTCTTAATGGAAGCTAAAGACCATAAAATTAGTCTCTGACCTGTAAACTAAAGTAAATAACAACATATTAAATCTAGGCAAGCTTTAATTTTGACAAAGATTACATTATAGATGAGTTACAATTAATAACAATTTAACATCTTGTTGTTTTGAAATTCATTTCAAATTTTTGCTGTTGTATAGTCCTCAAAAATTATGTTTAAAAGCCCCAAATAAACAGATTTATGTCCACAATGAGTATTTTTATCTCTGCGGCTCATTGAGTCATCTATCAGGACACGGTTAGCTCTTGGTCAACCTCATTTCTGTCTTTTCAAGCAGCTTCTATACACCTGTTTCTTTGAATGTCTGTTGTTTGTTTTATTTCTTGTTCTTAAATGTATATTATGCTTATTGCATTTATTTTCAAATGCAAAAAGGCAGCCTTACATCTGGAAGCTTATTGTTCAGAGCATCAGTTATTCTCTGTAATTCTGTTCAATTTAAAAATGCTTTATTGATCTCAAAGGGAAATGAAATGTTGCAGTAACTCAGGCAATTTTTTTCTGCAATGAGTTGGACTAGATGTTAATAGCTGTAGGAAGGAAGGACCTT